ATTTTTTCTATCAATTTTCAAGGGACAGATAGACATACTCTCGGACTTAGAAAAAACTCACTTAATGTCAGAAGTGTTACCTATGTTTCTCCATAATTTCAAATATTACATTTTAGCAGTAGATTTACCAATTAACTAGATATAGCTTTCCAGATAGATTTAGATATTGTTGCCTTGGTCACTACAATAAATGTTACATATAGTGACATACAAAAAGTGTTACTATAAGTATAATATATGTATGTATATATCTATTTGGCATATAGCTACACATAATTTTAGTATTGATTTTGAATGAGATTTAACAACATATTTTGTATGTCACTATAATTTATACCCACACTTTTTAACAATATACCAACATATATTATATTTATTGTGTAAGTAAAATTAGTTTTTAATGACACATATTGTGTCACTATAGGATGTGTGTCACTATATGGCAATTTCCTTGTAGTGGCTCCTTTTTCAAAACTTTTTGGCTAATTTTCTTGCATCCTTATTTGACCTACACAATAATTATCGTTTTGTAGTGTTTTGAAAGTCCACAAAATACTGAACAAGGTATCATCACAAGTAGGAGTGCAATTGAACAAATAAACTTTCCAAAGCTCTTAAGCCACTAAAGGCTATATACTGACAAAAAGCATGCTTGTTAAAGTATGAAATAGAAAATAAATCAGATTTGAAACCAAAACTCTGTCTAAATAACTCATTATATGCATCATCAATCTCCATTTCATTTGATGAGGAAGAATATGATATTTTGTTGTTTTATATTTATTTTGACAATGGTCAAATGTAGACGATGGACCATTTTTATTAATGGATATATTAAAAATACTAAATGCTATAATTTCAAAGGGAAAAAATCCTATGAATGTCATAAATTTAGGAATCAACAATGAAATTAGAGGACTAATGCAGATAAACAATCTTACAAGGACACAACGAAAAAAATAGATATCATTAGCAAAAGGATGATGTAGTAGTAATTCAGTACTATAATTGAGACGACTGTCAGTATTATTCCATATATCTCAAGGGTATTTGTAAACACTACATAATTCTATTCTAGGAAATGACAATTAATACATTGATTTTAATCACTTAATTCTAACTAAATTAGGAAACAAAATATTTACGGTATGTGCACATCAACTTTCCACCTCAAGTTGGTGAATAGATATCACACAACTAGGAAAATACTAAATATACTGGATAATTTGGGACATCATGAGTCATTATATCAATTAGCTGATTGGCACTTTTTAATGTGTGGAACCTTTATCCTACTAGCCTCCAGGTTGTAATGTATACCACAATTAAGAGAGGAAAATCGATATGTAGAAAGGCATAGTATTACTCAAATAGTATTCATGTTGGTCACAAGAGCTAAATTCATAAACGAGTATTACTTAAAGGTCTCTTGATATTCAGGCTAAAGCAGAAGCATAAATGTAATGCAACAATACCATGCTTTAAAGAATGAACTTTTTAAGTGGAAAACTAGTTAAATTTTACAACACTTAACAATAAGTTCTCATCAGGGTTCCAAATAGCAACCATGTTATTCCTTTAATTGATTCATCTCCAATTAAGATGCAGAAAGAGGAGCTAACAAAAATGTTAATTATAGTAACTACTAAACAAGCAATTAATTTGTCAATGAGCCATTCTTCTATTAATATATCACTAATATGGTTTGTTTCTTTGTTGGCATTAGCTAAACTAGATATCTCAAAAAGAAAAAAGTATTTTACAATAAAAGACCAAAATATGTTAACAAAAAGAAAAGAGACTAAGAGATACCAAAACAAACTATCACCACTATATGATAAATTGAACACTTTCTCTCCTTTTGGTGTGTGAATTTCTCCCCACTCCCAATGCGCGCTATGATCAATGTATGTCTAGTTATATTTCAAATTTCAGTGCCTTCTGTTGTCAGTCTTCTATAATATCATTTGTAGAATATCATAAATCTTCCTACAACTATTGCACGTCTCCTACAAATAACAATAAAGTTATAATTATCTAATGCATTTTGTAACTTAAATATACAAAATTATTTAATATGAATGACACAATCTTACTCCCACAAGACAAAGATCACTAATACATGGGTGATAAGATATCTTGGCAGGTTGCATTCAAGACACCTTAGAAGTCTCTCTGTTTTGTGGTGGAATGATCAATGGGTGCGAAATTCGAGAGAACCATTGCATGTATCCATCTCCATAGTTTGCTGAATGCTTTAACTGATGACCTTTAGCGGCAGCATCCACTACATAATTTGCATAGTGCAACCATCTTTCATCAATCTCCTCAGGAGAAATCATCACACTAATAACCTCTTGAGGCGATCTTAGGATGTGTTGAACATGTCCATATTAATGTAATACCCGCTCAAGCAAGTGTGCTTGCCTGCAAGTACTCCATCGAAGTCACCCCGAATATAGTGTTATATCTTCAAATGACTAATAATCTCTATGTTGACTATAAGGCATCCAACAAACTTCATCCACAATGATTGCATCTAGTTCCCTTCTAAAAGGAAGCACATGACCTATACTCTTGCTATGCGACCAACGACTAGCACGAGAATTTTGCTCAACATATTCCATGGACAACTAACGGGAACCAATTCGAGGAAAGTGCTCAAATATCCATGCATGTATCAAAATTAATGTCCCAAATTAGATTAAATAAAGTCCAAAGCAATACAAAATTTTTATGTTAAGCATAAAATAGTATGAAAAGTTTCACCTGTAAAAGAGTCATGTAGCCATCTATCTACTTAGTGTTATGGACACAAGCATCACTCAAGTGCTCATACAAGAATGTCAAGGTAGTTGCACCCCATGCATAATCACAGCAAGCTGAGAGGTCATGAAACAGGTCCAAGAATGCTACATCCACATATGTTGCACTCTTGTTAGCAAAAATCATGCAACCAACCAAGAATAAAAGAAAAGCCCTTCTAGCAAATTCCCAACACTTCCCTTGGCAACTCACATCATAAAAATCTCTCAACCAACTCATGCGAACATGAGCACCTCTCGTAGCCCTTATCTCGAGAATTTCGTCCTTGCGTGAGACTCTTAACAAATCCTTTAAGTATACACATGCAATGTCATGGTCCATGACTGGTTGATTGAAAAACGCACCTCTAATTAGTAGGTGCAATAAGCATGACACATCATCAAGAGTGATGGTTATCTCTCCTATTAGCAAGTGGAATGAGCTTGTCTCTGGTTGCCACTACTCAAAAAATGCAAACACAAGACTGTTATCCACCATTTGGTAGTTGCAAAGTAGAATTGATGCCAAGCCAGACTTATCTACCATTTTTTTGTATTTGGTGGTGCTTGATGACAAAACTTTTTACTTTTCTTCCATGATTGAAAATCTTAATCTCACCATAATCCTAATGTTTTATGATCTTGTCATTATAAAATTTTATTAAACATTAAATTTAAAAAAATAATCCAATAATATTAATTACCTCGTCACTCTATAAGCAGGTTGCAACACAATCTGGAAAATTCCTAAGGACCGACAAGTCCTCAAGGCCTCCTAGAAAGGACCTCGCTACCTGAGGATTCACAATACTATCTATCATGACCTCTTGAAGCTCCTCGTGACCAGCAACTATAGGTACTTAAGCATTAACATGTTGCCTATCTTTTGTTATTCATTGTCGCTTTCGTGCAAGACTACCACCTCTTGTTTGTACCATAACTTCACATAACAATAGATGAACAATCAATTTCAAAACATAAAGATAATTGATCGATCAATTTCAAACAGCTCAAACTCTAACAAGAATCCTAGCAAGAAATGTAGAGATGAAAGAGTGCGGGTGACAAAACAAAGAAAGAATGAGTTAAAGGCGAGAATAAGTCAGAAACAGCAAGAACAAATGAATGTAGTAGAAGGAAGAGCATGTGAGAAGAATTACTTGGAAGAAAAGTGTGTGTGGCTCAACTCCTTCCCCTTTGACACTAAACCCGCTTACGGCTTATAATGAAACTTAAAAAGAAACAAGATAACGCAAAAATCGAAAAGGATGGAAAGAAAGGTAGGGAGGTGCATGAAGAGAGAAGAAAGGGGTGTATAAAAAAAAATAAGGAAAAATAGAGGTAAAAATTTAAAAATTAAAAACAAAAACATATTAAGAGTAAGTCAGGATTTTAATATTTTTAAAAAAGAAAGAGAGTGTATGTATTAAAAATGAAGGTGTATATATCACCAGCCTCATTTGGTGCCCTTATAGCTAGAATGACTTTGTCCATTAAGTCTATTAATTAAGTCATGAATTGAATTTGTAATTTCTGTTTCTTGTTTCAATTTCCTTTTCATTATTTAAGGGTTAGCTGTTACAACACCATCACTCGGTAGCAGGTCAGGCCCAAAAAGCTAAGGAATAAGGCTACTGTTTTCACTAAGGAAGAGACCCAAGAGGATCATTTGGTGGCCTTATAGATAGAATGACTTTGTCCATTAAGTTTATTAATTAAGTCATGAATTGAATTTGTAATTTCTGTTTCTTGTTTTAATTTCCTTTTCATTATTTAAGGGTGAGCTGTCACGACACCATCATTCTGTGTTTACTTTGTTTTGTTGTATCATGTGAGGCTGTTATTTGTTATGTTACAGTATGCATAGTTGGTTGGTTATATATGGTATTCGAAGACATGAATGAAATACGAAGAAATTAGTCAGAATTCTGATCTCTCCGATCCCTCAATTTTTGGAGGTTCTTCCTTGCCTTTAATCTAGAGAACATTTTCCCCTTTTCTTTCCAATTCGCACCTCCATCATATATTAATAAATAGTCATGTGGCGATATGTCGATACGATGAATTGTTATAGAAATTTGTCAGAAAAATTTACACTCACACTACATATAAATCTAAATTGGGTAAACTAGGTCAATATACCGTTGGCACATCATTAATTGCAATACTAAATAATTAATAAATATAACAACAAACTAACGATTAGAAACATTTAGTAATTTATTACTTAGTGCACCTAACTTAGATGCACTGCATTTGTTTTTGCTACAATTTTCCTTTCTCTGATCCCCCAAACCCCTCACTGGCTCATACGAATACAGGAATAAAAGATATATCAGAATCATATGACATTATTTTGGCTGAATATACAAGCATCTTAGCAGGTGTACCACAACATTAGAATTAAATGCCTCAAAATCAAAGTATGGCACCACTTATTGTGTCTTGAGAGAGTGAGAGAAGCCACTAAACATGCCCTCTCAATTATATCTTGAGGACTAGTTGCTATTGGATGAGATGTTGCTTTTGGCTTGAGAGGAGGCAGTTGAGACATTACTCTTCACCTGTGAACTCTGGGTGGAGCTGGAGTCAGTGAAGAAAACTATGTTCTCCTCATTATCAACAATGGCTTGGAGGGCCCTTGGAATTGGAGGCAAAGACACATCCAAGAACCCTTCAAGTATTTGAACCACCTGACCCATGGAGGGCCTGTGAGCTTCATCATCTTGGACACACCATGAAGCAACTTTTATGACTCTGGTGACCTCTTCAATATCAGCTTTACCCGCCAACCTAGGGTCCAACAAATTAAGCACATTCCCTCCTTGGTGCACCATGTTTGCAGCAAAGGTAGGGAAAAACCTCACTTGGCCATCTTCTGACGCCTCAAAGTTCCTCCTACCTGACACAAACTCAAAAAGCATCATTCCATAGCTGTAGGTATCAGCTTTGGCAGTGATAGCCACACCTGAAATCCACTCAGGAGCAAGATAACCTCTTGTCCCTCTAAAGGTAGTGAGCACCCTGCTGAAGTCTCTTCCAACCAGCTTTGCAAGACCAAAGTCTGCCACCTTTGGAACAAAATCAGCATCTAGGAGAATGTTCTCTGGCTTCACATCACAGTGTATGATGCAGTCTCTACACTTCTCATGGAGATAAGTCAACCCCCTTGCTGTTCCAAGAGCAATTTGGTACCTCACTTTCCAATCCAAAAGCTTATCTTCATGAAACAGTTTGGAGTCCAAGGAACCATTAGGCATGTAATCATAAACCAACAATTTCTTAGTACCTTCAGAACAGAACCCTCTAAGCCTTACAAGGTTGACATGTTGGACTGTCCCAATTGTACTCACTTCTGTCCTGAACTGTTTCTCACCTTGGCTAATGCTCTCAAGCTTCTTAACTGCTACGACACTTGAATCAGGCAATGCTCCTTTGAAGACAGAACCAAAGCCCCCTCCTCCAAGTTTCTCTGAGAAATTCTTTGTGGCGTTTTGCAAATCCCTGTAGCTAAAAGCCACCAACGAGCCCTCCACCGACGTTCCTGCCCCAACATGCCTCTTTCTGCGCCTCAGCATCACAAACACAAAAACTAGGACAAGTATCACTATGCCACCAACTGCACCAGCAACAACACCAATGACTGTCCCCTTATTGCTCTTTGCATCATGAAACTCAGATGCTGCAAGCTTGAGAAACATAGTCTGTCCACTGCTATCATCTTGAGAAAGCTGTTGCACATTCAAGAGCTCACCATTCCAAATTGAACATCCACCATTGGTAGTAAAAGCATATGCAGTACATGAACAGTTACTCAAACATGCTGCTTCACATTCCCCATCACTCCCAACTCCTATGGATTGTGAATGATTAGGCAACTTCATGTTGAGAATTGGTAGGAACCTGTCCTTATCCTTGTTAGATGAATTGGGTGTCTCGCATTGGAACTTGGTCTTTCTCTCACACCCTCCTGAGTAATCCGAAACACTCCAATCAGGTTGTGACTTAGGCTCATAACCATTCAAACAACTACAATACGGCATGGCGTTCTCAGTGCAGCTACCAAATCCACCACAAAAGGCATAAACCTCACACTGTTGTCTAGGCTGTGACCAGAACAAATTCCACTGCTGAGCATTCTCCAGCCACGAAAGTTGCTTGATCTGCCCCGAGACATCCATCACAAAACGAGATATAATAGAGGAGTTATACACCGAATAGGTGAAGTAACTCTCGTTCTCATTGCTCTCAAAGGTGAAATTGTAGATGTAGTTCAACCTCATTTCAGGAACCAAGCTGAAGATGTGTCCATTCCAAGGACCACTAGTCCAATACTGTTCAGACTTATTCCAAAGAATGAGATATGCATTGGTTTCTTTAGGGTCTAGTTCAAGAGAGAACAAACCCGTTGCAGGATCATCCTTGTTCTTCCATGAAGTGAGATACTGAGGCTTCTTTGTTTTGTGGTCCAATCTTATCTTTCCACCAGGAAGCCATGTATCTGCAGGGTGATCAAAACTCTGCCACATAGCATCAGATTCTGATGCATTAGGCCTATTGCTTAACACAAGATTCCCAGAATCTAGAAGCACAGCCACCACAGAACCTGAGCTAGGAGAAGACAAATTGGTTGACCAAACTATATTTTGGGACTGGTCTAGGAGCACTAAATTACCATCCAAAATTGTAAACTTGGCAGAATTCTTATCAGAAACGGGGTTGTCTCTATTTGCAACCCAAACATAAGTCCTTACAGATATCTTTTTGTACCACATGCCTATGTAGTATTTAGAGTTGTTACCTGTGTTGAAGAAACCCAATTCGAAGTGGCCACCGCTGGAGACAAGGGTTTGGTCCCCGGAGAGAGATTGGTTTGCTGAGATGGTGGTGAAAGCAGCTAGGGAGGTGTGGAAAGTGAAGCATGTGATGAGGAGAAAGAGGCACAACTGTGGTTCGTAACCCATGATGTTTGGTTTGGTTGGTTCCTGAGTGCAAGTTACAGAGAAGCTATTAGATGGATATTTGTGCTTGTTGGGGAGGGAGGAACGGGTCAAAGGAATGACTTGGTCGTGTCTGAAATCTGAAGGAACAAGTTAATACCCTCTATTTTGTTTTCTTCTCATCAAAGTCAACAAATACTTCTGGAACTCACTGTTGTTCCAATTGCAACCTTTTAGCTTCAAAATATCATAGCTATACCACATGTTGCGCAGTAAATTTTGTATCACAATGGGAATCCTTTGGAGCTTCCTCTTCGCCGCCATTATTAACAGAACAACTGTCATGCATACATTAGCTACTATCTAATGTTGAGTAATAATATAACTTATGTGGTTTATAGTCAAAATATAAACAAAACTTCATATTATTATAAAAGATAAAGTCTCTATTGCTATGATATATTTTTAGAAATACTTGTGAATAAATATATAAAAATAGATCCGAGACCTAGAGTCTAATAAAGCATTAAAATTTGCTTTAGAATTTTGATGCATTAGGTTACTCATTATCGTATTGTTATAAACCACTCACAAATATTTGATTTTGTATAGATTAATTACACTCTAAATAAATCGTCACTTTGAAAGTCCTAATTTTTTTCTCAATTTTTTGTTAATACGTTTCTGTCTAGGGTTTGTTATATAGAAAATAGATTTGACCGCAATGTGCACGCGTGATTACTTTTCTTATTAGTATATGAATTCCATGATTTTTCGACAACAAAGACGCGACTGAGTTTGGCAAATGACGAGTATGAGTGATATATTCCATTTGTTAAAACTTAAAAATGAGAAAGAATGTGCCATGCCAACAATAGTTGAATAAGAAACTAGGTCATTTGCCATAGAGGGGCTTTTTGGTCATTTACTGAAGGTGCAACAAATACAGCCAGAGGCAATTCGTTGAAAAGTCAAATTATGTTTTTTATTATTATTATTATTCATTCATTTATTGATTTGATTTGTGTGCGTTAGCATTATCCCACTTCATATCATGATCAATAATTATACAACTTTTTTTCAAGTCTTCCTTCCAGTTCCAGCCAAATGCTTATATTTTGGTTTTGTTTTTTGTCCTGGTTTCTAAGTTGTCATGTTGGACTTTTCTTACAAGGGAATGGTTTCTATAATTCTATGCCATGCCAATCAAGAGTAATCACACATCAACACTCAAATACTTCAAATATATATAATAGTGCTATTTTACATTCTTTTATGTCTCTTTCCTTTTATCATACTATTTCTAATCTTAATTATAAGTAATAAATTAATTTTTTTAATTATAAATAATAATTATTAATTTTTTAAAATCATTTAAAATTAAATTTATTTTATATTGTTTATAAAGAATAGTATTATAGTATATTTATTACTTTTTTTATATATATACTTTTAACGTGTATATCAATATATTAGGTGTGCTCAAGAGGTAATATATCTTCAACATTTTCACACCTTTTTTAATGTTTTTTTACCTTAATTATTCTTTTAAATTTTCTTTTCTTTCTCGTCAAATTTTGTTTATCTCCTTTTTATTTTTAACTCTATTATTCCATAAGACTATACATTTCAAATGGACGTCAAAGTTTTTTGTTTTTTTCTCTGACATAGGAATTGAATGATTCTTCTTTCATGTTTGGATTTCGGCCTGGCCCTGTTCATTTTCTTTCTTTCTTTCTAGGTCCATGCATTTTCAATTTCAAAGTCATCAAAAAGAAGATGGATGCTATTCTCTCATACCACTGTTATGGTCCATTGAATTGACAATTAATGGTTGAGGTTTTCCCTTTCTTAGAAGAACGACCCAACAGAAATATATGATATTCATAAACACCGGAAAACATTGTTTGCTTCGTCAAAAGAAAAACATTGAATGCACAATGATTAATGATAAAGGTTTTGATTCCTAATCAAAATCACCATAAAATGGCTTTTTCCATAGTTTTCTCCAGATATATAAGAAGATATCATTAATTTCAAAAGTGATGATTAGTACTATTATCTAATACTATATCAGTTCTGATGAAAAAAATTAAAAATAAATATCATAATAAATTTGTGATTTATTATGTACAAACATTTAATATTGACTATTAATTTAGCAGTATCAATTGATCAAATTTGATTTGGCATATGGATGTATATGAAATAAATGCATATATAAAAGATGAAGCACAATAATAATTATGTGTGCAGTGATAGTTTTATTTTCCCCTTTGAGGTTGCTTGTCATTAACTCCTTCTTCTTCTCTAAGTTGGTTTGTTTGGGGGTTTAGTGAAGAAAAAAGGTGAATTGTGTTGTAGGATTCTAGGGTATTATTAATTGTGTTTGCAGTGCAGACTTTATATTTGACAATTATTTGTCATACTGCTTATAAATGTATCTTGGTATAGTAGTTGATTTTGTGAGCAGTATCATGTGCAGGGAGTGCTAAGATTATATACCAGCCAAATGGTTGCAGCTGGCTCCTAGTCTTCAAGTTAAATATTCTTTTAACTATGTGGTATATGTGCATTATTGGTCTAATGTGCCTAATATACTTCTTATGTGTACTTGTGGTGATTTGTCTTGTTAAAATTTCCATGTGGATACGAAAGAGAACAAGTCACGGGAAATGAAATTCAATGAAAGGTGCTAAAACTTGGCCCAGGGTTTAGCACCTTATTTAGGTTGCACTCTTGTATTTTAGCTTGTAATTCTTGCATGTTTAAAATAGGAAAGGCAACCACAGCACGAAATAATCAATTAGGACATAATTATTTTAGTTTAATTATTAACCTCAAATTTGAATTTATGTTAAATATTTGAACAAAAAAATTGTTATTTATATTAATTTTATTTGACTAAAGTAACATTACTTCTTTTTCTTTTATTGAGTCATAAGTTTTAGACACTAATATCACTTATAACATAATGACTATCATTAGTTTGACAAGTTTTTGCATATGACAGGAATCGAATACGGGTTTTTTATTACATAAATTGTTCTCACAATATGTAAATGTAAAATATCTGACCATTATGTAACATTACTTTTAATAAAAAATATTTGTATTCTAGACACACAAAATAAACTATTTTGTGAAATAAAAAAAATATACATTTCGAAGGCTTAGACTAAGTTTAAATCTTATTGATTCCAATAATTACTGATAATATTGTATAAGTTTTATTCATTTAAAGTAAGAAATATATATTATTTGTAGATAAAAAATTATAATATATATAATTTAAATAGACCAATAATTATATAAAGTATAGTATTATGAAAAATAACAATATATTATAATATCATAATATAGTAATAATATTATTAATTTTAATTTGTTACTTAATATAGTGATAAATAAACATGAAACTTTTGTTTTCATTTATAATCATATTATCACTTTCTTGTTTTATATACTTATCAAAGAAATATATATGTTGATTCTTTGTCTTATAGTCTTAAAAGTGTTATCTTTTATCTACTATTTCATTCATAAAAAAAATAAAAAATAAAAACATGTTGAGTCAGTGATAATGAATTATTATTAGAATTAAGGGTTTAAATCACTTTTTTACATTTTGAGAAGTACTTATTAAATAAATGGTCACTTTAATCCTTCAAAGTTATGTCATATTAACCTTATAGCTAAAGAAAAATACCAAATACGTAGTATGTTTCAAAAAAATATATATAACAATTACATTAATTAGAAACTAAACAAAACATATAATTAAAGTACGCAGAAAAAAATGTAACTAACTATATATATACACTAAAATTATAGTAAATAATAAATTTAAGAAATTATTTAACATTTTAAAAACTTACTTGTAATTTTCTTAATTTAAAAAATTATAACCTTAATTTTAAGAATTTCATCAGTTCCAAAAATCAAAATAATTACTTGCTCATTACTTATTTAATTTTATGTTAACAAATCAATTCATTATGTCACAACACTACAACAAAATTTATTTTTACCAACAATTATTTAACGGCAATAAATTAATTGCTTTTATTTTATTATTTAATATAAGTATTAGTGACTAATATATAATGGTCATTAAAAATGTATTTATATCACACCAAAATTTACTATTAGCGACAATTGTTTATTAAGAAAAATTTTAGTCCCACATCGACTAGAAATAAGATAATTAAAGAGTATATAAATGAATAATAACTCTCACCTTACAAGTTTGTTATGTATGGTTGAGTTAGACCTATAACTTACTATTCTAACTTGATATGAGATTACTCAATAGTTCTTAAATTTAAGGGGACCGACTATTGAAAAGATAATTAAATATATATATATATATATATATATCCCACATCGACTAGATAGTAAAAAATATCACAAAAAGTTATACAATTTTTTTCGACTATTATAAGGGTTTTTACAATTTAGAATAAATGCTGGTAAAAGATTTTGTAACAATTTTTATTGCCACTAAAAATCATATTAAATGTTACTAAAAATCTATTTTATTATAGTGTGCAACAATGACAAATAAATATTTACATCATCTATCAACGTCATGTTACCCAGATTCGTCCGGTAAACATTTATATTGATCAATCGATTAAAAAAAATTAAAATATATTCTTTTATAATTTCACTTACTTTATTTTAAATTTTTATAATTTAAAATAAATTATTTTAATTCCTATAATTTTAGATAAATTTTTTTAGTTTTTATGTTTATAATTTTTTTAATCTTTTTAATTTCTATCTTTTTTTTTAATTGTATTCATGTGATAGAAGTCTATTTTGTAATACTTGATACTTCTTTTATACCTTTGTGATCTTTTTATTTTTTATCCTTACAAAATTAAACACCTCTACCAAAAAAGACAACATTACAACACAAAAATTAAGGACATGAACTTAAAGGATTAAAAAATTGTGAGGATAAACACTAAAAAATATGTCTAATTTAAATTATAGGAATTAAAAACTAAATACAAGAATTAAAAATGAATATTTTAAATTATAAAAAATAAAAGGAAAAGTGAATAAAATTATAAAAATTAATAAAAAAAATATTTCAATGTTAAGAGATGGCGGTGGAGCAACAATGCAACAATTGAAGGTGCGTTCTGCCCTTTGATTGTGGCCCAACCTAACCAACGGTTCGCAATCGAGCCACGCGGAGATGGAAGCTAATAAGGTGAAACATAGTGGAGCAACATTATGGATGAGCACGTTACAAGAGGACTCAAATAACGTTACTACCCAACAAACAATGGAAGTAATTCATCATTGAATAATGAAAATATCTCATCCAAAAACTACACATTTAAATCTATCGAATTTATTAATAACTAAGAAAAAAAAAACAAACAAACTTTATATCTCTGCTATTAAAAAAATAAAAGAAAAAACACAATTCATTTAACTTTAAAAGAATAGAATAATGGAGTAAATTAATTAAAAAGATTTAAAAAATCCAAAAAAACATTGAAATAAATAAGAGTATCCTTTATTAATGTTATAGATTATTTTAATTTTACTGGTATAAATTTAAGAATATATTTTTTTATAACAAGAATATTAAGTTATAATTAAACCATTAAAATTCGAAAACCATTAGTGCAGTTTCTAAAACATTAAAAAATAGTTTAACTCATTCAGAATCATCAATATGCAGCATACATTACATTACTGTATCTACACATAGTATCACCTTTATCGGTAGTAATGAAGTATAAACATAGATAAAAGACTAATTTTTCTCCAGATATAGAAATTAGCAAAATGTGTTGTCTCTCCCAACAAAATATATTTCATTCACACATATAACTAGAAATATAACCCCTAGCAACATGTTTAAGTAACTTGAGATAATAAGATAATACCCACAAATTATAATTCATTATTTTTACAAAAGATTTTAAAAAATGATGGCAAAGTGCTTATTACTATTTTCTAAACTTTTTCAGAATTTCTTCTGCTGTTTATTGTTTCTTCCATGGCTTCTCACAAATTTATTCATATACAAAAAAAAAAAAAGATGTGTTATTCATACAACTTGTACAGTTTATATTGCAACATATTTTGTATTTATTTTTTTTTATCGCATCATTTATTACATTTCATATTTCTCTCTTTCTTCCTTAGTTGTGTAAATTGTTTCATAAGATGTACAAATAGCATTTTTCATACAAAAATCATATATGGATTTCATACGTGTTTGATCATATTTGACAGAAATTGATCTCAGCATTTCAAGGTGAAAGAGCCTCGTGATATACCAAACAAAATACTGTGCTGAATTTAGAAGTCAACTATTGGGGTCAATTACACGTTTGTGAAGTTGGTTAGTTGCCATTTGTATATTTAGTAAAATATGAAAGTATACTTATACAATAAACTGCGCAATAAATCTTACAACCTAAAAGGAAAAGAAAAAAGGAGAGAGAAGTTTAAAGTGTAATAAAATGATAGGATAAAAGAAGAGACACACAATTAATTATTGTTTGTATGAATAAGGATGATTTCCTGTAGGGTTTTGATCTGCATCATCTTCAGAAACTATTAATAATTAGAGGTTTCTCTAGTAGAATTTATATGCCGAGAGAAAAGCAAAAGTGATTAACAAGGGTGTAAAAAAATTACCAAGTGTAAAATGCATTTTATGTTTCTCAAATTTCGATCAAAATTAATCTTAATTTCTATATTTTTAAATATAATGATTTTGGTCCCCTTAAAAAAAAATCATCCTCGTATTTTGGTTCACACCCTAACTTTGATTTTTTTTTATTTTTTGTATATTGATACAAAATTCACTGAATATTAAAATTACAAAGATCAAAATCATTAATCATTATCATTTTTAAACTGAGACTAAAACTAATTTTGATCAAAATTAAACGCAACATTTTACTTAACAAATAAAAAAAATTGTTTGTCTCAAATAAGGATGTCAATACAGACTAGTTCAACCTAATTCGCCCTTAACCCAACAAATGAGTTGGATAAGGCTCATTTTGAAATTGGATTGAAAATCTCAACCTACCTAATCTCGGTGAGTTGCAGGTTGTAGATCGGATTGATCCATCAAAAGTTATAAAAAAAATGTTAAAAAAACAGATATGAGTTGATCCTCCAAATAAATAAATAACATAGATTCTCCAAATATAAACTTAATATCACAATTACAAAAAAATTATCTTACTAAATTACCTTGGTACAAATAGTCAAATACTCTATAATACATTATCATGAATCAAATAAATGTAATATAATGCAATAAAATAACACGAAATTCATAATTGTCCATTATAGTTATGTCCAACAAAACATAATAGTTCATAATTGTGATCTGCACTAAACTTTAATGCCTGATCCCATGGACGAGTTATCAAGGTGGAGCAAATAAGTGGGTCCAAGCAACTTGTCTTAATTACACTGGTCCACTTAGTAGTTATGATAGAGTTGCTTAACTTCAACCCCAACTCACCTGGGGTCAATGAAATCCCCACATAATAGAATTGTGAAAATTTATTGTAAATTTGTAATTGCAGCAAACTTTATCTCCAGACAAATTGAAAACGATGTTTTGAACGTACATAACACAACCTATAATGAAAAAGAAATACTGTGGCCGAAAACAGCTTATTGGGCCATACAACCCACAAATCAATGTATCAATATCTAGCACACCAAACTTAATGAAAAGAGAGGGAAAAAACTCTGCTAACAGAAAACATTAAGAAATAACAAAGTAAATAGATGCATACTGAAACAAAGGTGATGTACGAACCAATTTACGATGGAACAGCCTCTCACATAACTCCAAAATTTCCCTCACTGCGACTCTTGCGCATGGATGACATCATATTTGACACTTTGCTGGGAGCTTCAAAATGATGGCGACTTTGGGTTGGTACTTTGGTTCCAGTTGGTGGCAGGAGAGCTTGCTTGCCTTTGGACAGTTTTGGTGAGTCCACACTTCTGCGAACATGAGTTGAAGTGGTCAACGCCCTCCGTGTGGCTGCAACACCTTGGCTGCTCTTCCTGGTGGTCTTGCGATCTGCTCTAAGGCCGCGATCAAACTGATGGGAATTCATTCCTAATCGAACTGAACGTTCTGTGCCATCCTTCAAAGTGCTTACTTTGATAGGCTGCCGGTTGTAGTAGACAAGATGGGGAAGAAGGCCTTGCAGATATTTCTTCATATGTTCATCTCCAACATTTTTCTGGGCTGGGTTTCCATCCAAGTTGATGGCTTGCAAAGAATTGTAGTTGGCTGCAAGTTGGCCTAGACATTTGGCTGTTGAAATTTTGTTAAAGCGGAGATCCAGGATACTTAGTTTCAAGAGGCGGTGCAGACCCTCTACTTCACCGATCTTGTTTCCAGCCAGGTACAGCTCCTTTAGAGATGAGCAGGATGCAAGGCCTTTGCAAATGAGGAAAAGATAAACCAAAACAGAAAGGGGAAAAATGGAGAGAATTTCAGCAATCCATATTTGGATGTCAATAGGATAATGGCATCAAAAATCATTTCCACAAAAAAACTATAAGAGGAAAGCTAGCAACATTCTCCTTATTCTTGACCAAAATTTATTGAAAATCACAAATTTTATAAGTCTCACATCTCATTTAACGAGTCTCTCCTAACTTAGTTATACAACCCACCAAAATTTGTAATTTTCAATCGATAGTAAAGAGAATATAAGCAAAAAAGTGTTAGGGTGTGTGTGCTAGCATTTTTCATATTATGAATAAGAAACCTGAGATGTAATCCAGAATTTGTTTTACCATGTCCAATTCTTAATATTCGGTTGTAACTGAGGTCTAGAACACGAAGCCTTGTAAGTTCGCGTAATCCTTCTATAGTAGGTATCTTGTTTCTAGACAAATTTAATGCGTGAAGTCCACGAGGAAGAGCACCAGCAGTTATCCTCACTGAAAAGGAGAATCAACACAAGATAATTAAGTCTCGTTAGTTTCCTGGCAACAGGAAAGACCATCACATATTAAAAATAACGAAAAAGGATCTAAATCGATAAACTTTTTCAGTAGCACTTCTAGAAAAGTAAAATAAAACAAGCTTCTACATAAGCTAAAATTAGTTTATTCATAAACGAACTTGTAGAAATTCTTTTATATAATTTCTCCAAAAAAAGTAGCAAATTAGCTTATGCATAAGCTAGTTTTAGTTTATGGAGAAGTTTACTTCATTTTTTTTATCTTATTTTTTTCTTCCAAAAGTGTTTCTAGAAAAGTTTATTCAAACATACCCTAAGTAAATTATATTACTAACCTATAGCATTTCCAGCTAAATTGAGCACTTTCAAACTCACAAATGCACTCAAAAAGGGGATCACAACCAACCCATGATTTGCCAGCTGAGCTCCAGTGGCATTAGCACTGAGAGAAGATATATATCTTTTAGCTGCATCCATTCCTGGAGTGACCTTATGATCCACACTAGCAGCAGTCACACCATTTACTGTGTTAACATCAGCTGAAGGTTCAATAGCTTCAGGCGATTCATTTGTTTCCTCCACAGGTGGTACACAGTGCTGCAGACCTATTACCCAATCCTCAATGCGCTTAATCTTGAAATCCTTGTTAGCAAACTCACCCACACCGTCAGCTGGGGAATCTCCTTGAAGGGTTTTGACATCACTTGTATCATCTGTAATTGGCATTACCCAGTCTTTTGCTGAAGCAGAAAGCAGATAAGAATCAAAACCGTCATCAAACAAACTTTCCATTTGACCATCTTCAGTTTTTCCTATGTCAATCTCTTTTTCTTGATCTCTCCTTATTTGATCATCAAACTCATTGGTGTATACCTCTTTCTGCCTCATGCATAAAGTATGAAGATCATCCGAAGATCTTGACAACAGAAATGCACATTTAAAAGCATCTTTTTCAGAAGAAAGTATAGAAGCTTTGATATTGGGTAAAGAGCGTGACTTCCTTAGAGATAGGGTACCAGGAACAGGAGTCTGGTCAGCAATGTTGCCAGCAAACTCACCAGATAATGGAGTATCAGAAATTTCACGGATATCTTTCTCCGAAGGTATTGGATCTCCTATTGAAAAAATTGAGCTATCATTTGCAAGACCTGAACTGGCTTGAAACTCGAAGTTTGGATTATTTCCATACTGATCAATGGTGTTTGCATCACGAGACTTTCTGCAAATTGAAGTTGTTGACTCATTCTGGCTTTTGGCACCATCACAAGACAACCCCAGATCTTCGTCACTTTCCCTTATGACTTGGTCAAGCCCACTTTGAAGAGACTGGCTCTTCTTAAGACCCCCAGTTTGGTGAACTTTTCTGTCAGATTCAAATGAAAACTTGCTATTCATATCCTCCGACCTACAACTGCGCTCAACTGAATCCCAATTGCTAATATGATTCTCAATGACATTTATTTCCTTCTGTCCTTGTCCTTTTGAAAGGGATGAATTTGAGCTTGGAGGATTAGATGAATCTTTACAGCCACGATTTTGGGTAACATCTTGCAAAGACTTCACCATTGCTTCAGTAGAAGGTTGAACTGTTTTCTGATTGAAGAGGAAAGCAAAGTTAAAATAGGTCGTGTGATATCATATCAACAAGTAATACTAAGCAATCGATACATCTTCTGCTTACCTTTGTTTTGTTGACTTGGACATTACCATGGAAACAAGAAAACCTAAACATTGCTGCAACGAAGTTGACAGCTACATCTAAACATAAAACTTTCCTTAAGGCAGAAAAACAAATATCAATTACAATCTACACTGTGCATCAATTTTCCAGAAGCCTGATCAAAGATGCTAAATTTGCAGAGATTCAGTAGCAAACTAGAAAGAGCTTCTGGCAACGCAGCAAAAGCCACCCTTAGCCATAATCAAGCGACAAGCCCACTGAAACACGGCACAATCTCCATATATCTGATGACTTTGATCTTCTCAAAACACAAAGCCCAATAACTCCCTCTTCGTCGCCCCACACCCTCCTAGAGGTGCGAGAATAGTTTGACTTTGTTATAGCGGCCAGAGTGAAAGAAATTCCTTTCCAACCAGCAGAATCCAGACAGAGACACAGACACGCATAAGAGATGCAGTCCTGGTAAATAAAAGATAATCAAGATTAAAGGTTGATCTGATATGTAACATCCACAGTAAGTAAAACTACAAGAACAGGATCAAACATTCAAAAAAACCAAATAAATAGAAAGCACCCTCGCTCAACAGGTATAGGGAAAAATTATGCATACATATTCGTGATTCCAACTTGAAGATAAAACCTATAGAAACCATATTCACATGTACCCTGCAATATAGCTTCTGAGTTTTATTCTTTACCTAGCTCACGGGAACAAATACAATAGACCCCATCTACACATTCATGCTTGAAAACAGTTTCTTCTTTTCCAAACTCTAAATTAGCTTAAATTTCTAATATTACTTTCACCATCTTGGATTCCCAACAAATCAAATCTGAGAAATCAAATAGATGAAAAATCAAACCCCAAATAAAAACATAGAAACGGGAATCAAGCGTACTCTTTGACCATGCCCATTAATTTAATCAGAATGACACACCAATGGGGTGGTACAAAATCGCATCTTCGAATCCAATATAATAAAAACAAATTGAATTATTCCTTTTCATAAATCGTGGGATTTAGCAATATCCGAGGTTGCATCAGGAATGAAATAAGAGAGCATGTGATATATATTAGTTGGAGAAAAAAGATAGAAGGAGAAGAGGAGAGATGTGACCTCTTTGAAGGGATGAAAGAAGGAGCACTGTTGTATAGAGAAAGAGCTTCTTCTTCTTCTTCTTCTGTTTCCCTACCCTGCTAGGCTACGCCACCAAGGAACCAAAGAAGCATCTTCCATTCATTTTTTCTATATATATCATCATCATCATAATAATAATAATAATAATAATAATAATAATAATAATAATAATAATAATAATAATAATAATAATAATAATAATAATAATAACTTCAGAATAAACAGCCATCAGTACGAACCAACAACTTTCGCTATTATTGGCTAACCCTAGACTGCTAAACATGTCAAATTTAAATTGGGTAAAAAAAATGGTGTTTCTTTAGTCTGGCTCTGTTTATCATGGGAATGATTTTAGGTCAGACTGGAATGCCTATCACATAATTCACATTATCATAATATTATTATTTTTTAATTTAAATTAATATTTATTAAAAATAATAATTTTGAGAAATATATATCACTTTTGCTGAATTTATTATAATTTGTTGATAGAATTCACCGAAATTAAGTGATTTAGAAATTAAGTGAAATAATTAAATTAAATTGATATAAATAGACCGACTTAAATAATGGGTCGCTTATTTTAAGAGTATTGAAAATCTTGTAGATTATATACAAAATACGGTTTTTATATATTTCAAGACTTTGATATTTTTGCAATCTACTTCAGTTTTCGATGAGTTTTGGAGTGAAGTTATTTTTTTTTAAAGTTAATTATTTATATATTATTAATATAAATTTTTTTTTTACACTGATATCTTTTAATAATATTATGTTATTTATTTATTTAATTAAATAAAAATAAAAAATAATTTAAAAAAATGATTAATTATCGATATATAAAACTTTACACTGACAGTATATAGGTGATTAATTTTTTTTATTATTGTTCATTATATTAATAGAATTTCATCTTTTATTATGTTCGGCTTGTCTCCTTTCTAGAAGGTGTATAGTCGTGTTCCTGATTACGTGCTCATTCTTGAGAGTTTTTGAATTTACTTGTTTTGTCCTTCATCCATATAAGTAAAACATAGTATATGAGTATGTTTGGATACATATTAGTATTAGAAGAAATTTTAAAAGTTATTTTTATAAAAATAAGTAAATAATCTCAAATACACTTTTTAAACTATAATATATATTTATATTTTTTAATAATATAATAACATATATTATATATAATATAAATAAAAATAATTTATAATAGTGAATATTGTGTTACTATAAATTGTACTTAATTTTTTTTTAGTATTAATCTTTCTATTGTGCATCGTGGTTCATCCCCTCTTGCAAAATTGCATTTTGCTTATTGGGTTGGTGGGTATTGGGAATCATTTACATGTATCAAAATGCCCCTGAATATTGATGGAATGTTGTAGTTCTGAATTGATGTCCCTGACAATTTGAATGGTGTTGATTTCACAACTATTTTGTGATATCATTTTCTTCTGATACAGACATGGATATTCTCGAAATTTTAGTGCTGATAGCCTAAATGAAGCATACCTTTCATATAACTGAAATATGCAGTATAATTTTATCTACTTGAACAAAATATTTTTAATGTATATTGACTTATAAGAATGTATTAGTAGAAATATATATATATATATATATA